GCCAGGTATCATTCAAGGAACTGGGGGATATCAGTAACTGAAGACCAAAATCATTGCTCCACAAAGCTCATTCCCAGCTGGGGGAACAGAAAATTTAGTGACAAAATATAGAGGATATTATGGCATGATCAGTTCTTAGGGGTAAAAAGCACAGCAGTTAAACCTAGTCATTTCACAGAAAATTCTGAGTGAATTCAGCATTTTTAATAGTTTCCTGCTTTCTGTCAACCTGCTAATATTTCCTAAACCTTAGATTACAGCTATTTTCAAAGGTATGTAAAAGTTGAAAGAATAAGCCAATAATCACCCATATACCCTTCACCTAAATTAATCAACTCTTAACAATTTGCTATATTTTCTTCCTCTAATTCTCAGTGAGATAGATAGTAGATAGACCATTTTATAGACTGATAGATAGCTGATAGATCGATAGACCATTTTACAGTATTTAACTTTTACTCTGCTGCTTCAAAATAAATTATAAGCATCATTATTTACCTCTACTTCACCATGCATCTCCTAAAAATAAGAGTATTTGCCCCAAAACTACAGGCCAATGTCCCCAATGAACATAGACACAAAAATCCTCAACAAAATACTGGTAAACAGAATTTAACAGCACATCAAAAACATTAATTCACCACAATCATGTAGACTTCTTACCTGGGATGCAAGGTTGTCTCAATATATGCAAGCCAATCAATTCGATACAAACAAATAGAAAAATATTCCATGCTCATGGACAAGAAGGATCGATAGTGTTAAAATGGTCATACAGCCTGAAGCAATCTACAAATTCAATGCTATTCCTATTAAACTGCCAACATTATTTTTCACAGAACTAGAAAAACTGATTCTCACATGAATATAAAATCTAAATAAAGCATGAATAGCTAAAGCAATTCAAAGTAAAAAGCATAAAGCTGGAGGCATCACAATAACTGGCTTCAAACTATACTATAAGTCTACAATAACCAAAACAGCATGGTACTGGTATAAAAGCAGGCACATAGATCAGTGAAACAGGACAGAGAATCCAGAAATAAAGCCACACACCTACTGCCATCTGATCTTCAACAAAGTCAACAAAAATAAGTAATGGGGAAAGGACTCCCTATTCAACAAATGGTTCTGGAATAGCTGGTTAGCCATATACAGAAGAAAAAAAAACTGGACCCCATCCTTTCACCATACACAAAAATTAACTCAAGATAAATTAAAGGTTTAAATGCAAGACCTCAAACTATAAGATTCTAGAAAAAAGAAAATTAAGAAACACCACCTGGACATCATCCTTGGAAAAGAATTTATGAGTCAGTAATCAAAAGCAACAAAAACAAAAATTGACAAGTGGAACCTAATTCAACTAAAGGATTTCTTTATAGCAAAAAAAGCTATTAACAGAATAAACAGACAACCTATGGAATGGGAGGAAATATTAGCAAACTATGTATCCAATGAAGATCTAATATCCAATTTATAAGGAACTTAAACAATTAAACAAGCACAAAACAGAAAAAAAAATTTTAATGAGCAAAAGACATGAACAAATGCTTCTCAAAAGAAGACATGCAAGTGCGCAACAAACTTACAAAAAGATGCTGCACACCAGTAATCATCAGATAAATGCAAATCAAACCCACAATGAGATACCATCTCACACCAGTCAGAATGGCTATTATTAAAAAGTCAAAAAATAAGAAGTGGTCAAGATGGCTGACTACTTCCTTACATTATATACAAAAATTAGCTCAAAATAGATTAAACACTTAAATGTAAAAAAAAAAAAAAAAAAAAAAAAAAAAAATGGGCGATAATCTAGGAAATATCATTCGGACATAGGACCTGGTAAAGATGTCATGACAAAGATGCCAAAAGCAACTGCAACAAAACCAAAACAATTGATAAGTGGGACCTAATTAAACTAAAGAGCTTCTGCACAGCAAAAGAAACTATCAACAGAGGAAACAGACAACCTACAGAATGGGAGAAAATATCTACGAACAATGCACTATCCAGAATCTATAATGAACTTAAATCAACAAGCAAAAAATGAACAATCCCATTTAAAACGTGAGTAAAGAAAATGAATAGATGTTTTTGAAAAGAAGACATACATGCAACCAACAAGCATGTGAAAAAATGCTCAACATCACTAATCATTAGAGAAATGCAAATCAAAACCACAGTGAGATACTATCTCACATCAGCCAGGCCATTCTTAAAAAGTCAAAAAATAACCCATGTTGGTGAGATTGCAGAGAAAACGGTGTGCTTATACACTGCTGGTGGGACTGTGAATTATTTCAACCATTGTGGAAATCAGTTGGGCAATTTCTCATAGAACTCAAAGCTGAATTACCACTCAACCTAGCAATCTTATTAGTGAATCTAGAGCCATAGTAAGTCATTCTACTATAAAGACACATGCACATGTATGTTTATTATAGTACTATTCACAATAGCAAAGACATAGAATCAACCTAAATGACCATCAATGGTGGACTGGATAAAGAAAATTTGATACATATACAGCATGGAACACTGCACAGCTATAGAGAAAGAATGAAATCATGTCTTTTGCAGCAACATTGGGGTGGGAGGCCACTATCCTAAGTAAACTAACATAGAAACAGAAAACCAAATACCACATGTCCTCACTTATAAGTAGGAGCTAAATATTGTATACATGTGAGAAGGGAACAGCAGACACCAGGGTCTATCTTAGGGTAGAGGGAGTGAGGAGAGTGAGGACTGAAAACCTACCTATCAGGTACTAAGCTTATTAACTGGGTGGGGATGCAATCTGTGCACAAAACCCCCATAACACATAATTTACCTATATAACAAACTTGCACATGTACCCCTGAACTAAAAGTAAAAACAAAGAAAACAGTTGCTAGCAAGGACAGAAGTAAAGGGAATATTTATACACTATTGGTGGGGACATAAATCAGTTCAGCCATGGTTTGAAAATTTCTCAAAGAACTTAGAATGGCCATTTGACCCAGAAATCCCAGTACTGGGTATATATCCAAAAAAAAAAGTAAATCATTCTACCAAAAGGACATATGCACTCATATGATCATTACAGCACTATTCACAATAGCAAATAAAAGGTGCCCATCTATGGTGGATTCAATAAAGAAAATGTACATATATAACAGGGAATACTATAGTCATTAAAAAAAGAAGAATAAAATCATATCCTTTGCAAGAACATGGATGCAGCTAAAGGCCTTTATGTTAAGCAAATTAACACAAGAACAGAAAACCAAAACAGCAAGTTCTCACTTATAAGTGGGAGCTAAACAAAAAGATCAACGTAGTAGTCATGGACAAAAACATGGCAACAATAGAAACTAGGGACTGTTAGAATGGGGAGGTGGTGAGGGGGGCAAGAGTTGAAAAACTATCGTGTACTACACTCAGTACCAGGGCAATGGGATCATTCATATCCCAAACCTCAACATCATGCAATATGCCCAAGTAACAATACTATACCTGTACCCTCTGAATCTAAAATAAAAGTGGAAAAGAAAAAGTGTCATGGCTTAGCAGGGGCGAGCTCAATAGCTGATGACCTCTATAATGGAGTAGCAGAATATTAGGTCAATACTCTGCTTTTTGGAAGAATGTCCATGTACTACTAACAGAGGTTCCAGTGTTAGGGAGAATGGCATATTCATAATGATCAATTTCTTGGCTTTTTCCTGTTCCTTTTAGCAAAATCTATGAGAGAGAAATAAACTTAGACAACAACTATCAAGTCCCAGAACTGAAATTAGAGAACACAGCTTTAAATCTGTTCTCTGCCTGTGGGCTGCAATCAAAGTTGAATGAGAGAACCATTTTGAAGCCTCCAAATTACAACAGAAACCATTGTTTTCATACTTTGGACAAAAGCAGTAATAAGAGGTGTCTATAAAACTGCAGGCTTAACAGGATTTAAGATGGAAAGTGAATTTGCTGGCAATGGCTAGGTAGAGAGTATGGCTTCCCACTGAAGCCATTATTTCAAATGTCCTCAAGAGATCAACCTTGAAGTTGAATTAAAGCATTGGAGAGAACACCAAAGCCCAAACTTTTTTAAAAAATGAGACTTTTCAGGCTTTAGAATTATGTATCTATAGAAAATTCAGAGTAATATTATCCTTTTTGAAATGAATATACTATTACTGCAGCAGTCCAAGACTACAACCTTGAAAAATGTCCCTGACTCCTTGACTTCTATCTTAGAGAGGAAAAAAACCAGCTGCTCACTAGCATTGAATAGTCTACCCTAAGCAGTTGTATCAGAATTGCTACAGCGGAGGAAATTTGTTGTTGTTGGTTTTCTTCCTCCTAAGGAGGTCTAGCTGCTGTCCGCTAGACTAATGACACGTTAATTCAATCAGAAACATTCTTCTGGGTTACCCTACTGACCAACATAATGTTACCTCATTACCCTTGATACCTTTTGAGTCAAAAGATTTTAATGCTGGTCTTTGATACTTGTCAAGGAAAGAAAAACTTGTAAAATACATCTATGCCTTTTTCAAATAAATTACTTTCATTAGATAATCACACAGCTAGATTTCACGGATAGCTCTTACATGAAGGAGGTGACACTTGAGGGACAGGTAGCACTTAAATTAACTGCAGATGATTTCACACAGAATAAACAGCATATGCAAAAGGCTGTGAGAAGTCCTGGGGCCTGTCCATAGAAAGCTGGACTGGTTTCACTGAAGCTTCAGGCACAAATGAAGGGATATGTTGCATAGGGCCTTGAGTACAAAGTGAAGACATTTGAACTTTGTCCTGTAAGTAACAAGATTCTTAGAAAACAATGGATGATGTCTGAAAACACTGTTTTAGTAAGAGTTACATAGCAATGCCCAAAACTAAATCATGAAATCAGCTAGGACTCAAAAAACAGTGCAAGTTCAACTAAGGAGAGTGAATCAGCAAAATGGGATTAGCTGATGATTAAACCAGCAAGCCCCTTTAGTACTCACCAGCAGTCAGTGATGGAGTGGTTAAAATGGGATCGACTCTGCTTGTTTAGAAAAACTCTTCCATTTGTATTTCTATAGAATTAGACTAATAGCAATTTGAAGACTTAGGTCAAATATGATGGATTATCCTTGCCACTTGAGAACTTTTTAAACCTTGCCTTTTTCCTTTCCCTGGTTGTTTCATGGTAGATCATCACTGGAATGCATCAAGGAACATCAAGAGTCAGATCTGTGACTCATTCATGGAGATTAAAATCTGTTCAAATACATGATTATGTGACTATTTATTAATGTGTTGAAAAATGCCAAAATAAACACAGGCAGAGGTTCTTCTAGGCTTACTAAGCAACTTTGAATTTTTTTCATCAATTTGTATAATATACCCTCTACAAGCCTTAACAGAGACGGGTTGTCTACTCAGTCTCATTTACATCTATCAGATTGCATTACCTTACCTGATAATGTACTAGAATTTCCTCTGAATTTTAGACAATGTGATCATGAAATGTGGAACAATCTCAAGTGGTTTAGCAAACAACCTTCCACATCAGTGCAGTCATCTCAGCCTTTAAACCATCAATTCTGGATTGTAAATTTGATCTGCAAGTTTATGAATCTGAGTCAAAGACAAAGACCATTATGCCTTGCTTTGAAATGGGATTAGAAGCAAAAATGAACTCAAGTGTTTAAAAAAAGTACTAAAAAATAATAAAACAAAAAATATATCATCAGTGCCTCTCTAAGAAACAGAATAAACTGTACTAATATGAATACAACAGCAATGTTACTATTTGCTAGAATTTCTCTCTTTCTTTCTCATTCTCTGTTTATCGTTTACCTTTCTTTGATTTGGTACACTACATCCTTTTAAATTATTTTTGCCCAAAGGCAAAGATCATTTTTGCTGGTATTTTTCTACCTCTAAAGGGAAAACAAGGGTGAGTGTCATTTGAAGATGGACAGTATCTTACTTGTTCTGTTGGAACTCCTGCACACTGCAGAGACTTGGTAAAAGCTTAAAAATAAGGAGGAAACTTTTCAGTAGTACCATCAAGATCAATGTCCATGGTTACGCTAAGAACAAGAATTTTAACTCCACAGTTCCAGCATTGTGTTCTCATAGATATAGAACTTTTCTGAACTCAGGCACTTAACCAACCTGGTCTAAGCTTATAAGAAGATGAGAATTCTGATTATCTTTTTTCCTCCTTTTTCCTACCCTAAAAGGAAAGCATAGCCCTCAAGAAGAAATTAACTGAACATTTTCTTTTTTAGCTGAAAGATTTATTTAACTAATAACATTGTCTTAATTATGGGATAGTTTTCTTAGCAGGTTACCATTCTGTGTTAACATGGAGACAAAGACAATTATCTGGTGCAGAACCCTAGGAGCTCTTCCTGGGTTGCCAAGCAGGTTGAATAGTGTCCCCTACAAAGATACGTTAAAGTGACAGTGTCTAGTGCCTGTGAATGTGATCTCATTCAGAAATAAGTTCTTTGCTGATATAATCAAATTAAGATGAAGTCATCAGAGTAGTCCCTAATCCAATATGACTAGTGATCTTATAAAAAGAGAAAAATGCCATGTGAAGACAGAGATACATAGGGAGACTCTCAGTGCCAACAGAGGCAGAGACTGGAAGGATGCAGCTGCAAACCAAGGAATGTCACCGACTGTTGACACCCTACAAGCCAGGAAAAGGCAAGGAAGGATTCTGCCCACAGCGTCGGAGGAAGCATCATTTGAAAATGCCTCGATTTGGAACCTCCAGCCTCCAGAACTGTGAGAGACTAAATTGTTGTGGTTTTAAGCCACCCAGTTTGTGTTGCTTTGCTGCAGTACCCTAGGAAACTAAAACTGTAGGCAATGGGCTAGTCAAAACCAATGGCTTTCCCTTTTCCCAGTTGGAGGAACTGCACCAGAACTTGACTTCTCATGGGAGAGATACTCCCAACAGCCTCTAGGTGCTTGGCAACTGACAATTCCCAACATGCCTTAAACAGCCATTTTTCTCCTATTTTACCAAGCATCTTATACTCTGTCCCAATTAAAAGGTAGAGCAATGAGAAGTAGAGTTCCCCTGCAGAAGCACAGGCCAAGCAGAGAATACTAGAAAAATAAGAGGAGTGTCAAAACTGCTGACTTTCCACTCATTAGTGCCACCTGCACCAAGTGACACACTGGAACTTGCCCCATGCCCTTTGCAGGACATATAATGCACTCAATAAAAACTGACGTTCTATTTCCATATTAAATGACATTTGGAGTATGTATAGAGCTCGTATTCTAGAGTTGTAACACCTGGCTTTGAAAGCTGTCTCCTGCACTCACTAGCAATATGACCTTGAGCAATGTATTACCCTTTTTAACCTTGGTTTCCTTATCATAAAATGAAATTAATAAAAGATAACAAGAATTTCCTGTGGGTGTCCTTGGGAAAGTTAAATTTTAAAAAAATCCATGTAAAGTGGTGCTCAAACTTAGAATGCAAGTGTAAAGTGCTTTGGTTGATACTTCTTTTACCTGCCTGCTATAAGCATTAAGTAACTGAAATTTTATTTCTCATGACTGATAAAGCATCATCAGTCTCCTAGAGTGCCAGGCCTTTAGCTTCTTACAACTATCACGTTGACAAATTTTTCTGGCTCATCATTTTCTCTTTCATGAAGTCATTCTGGGGGTTTCACGTCCTTAAAGACAGCTGCGATTCCTGTTTTGATTATTTTTCCTAAATCAATAAGCAAAACAACTGCGTAAGAACAGTACTGTCTGAAGGCCTCCAAGCCCTATCAGATGTGTACAAATGATGACTGATGAATGCCAGGTATGACCATGACAGTCATTCTATTGCTTTCTTACTCAACTGAGAACAACTTCCCACCATGTCCCATGACAGTTTTAAATCATTTTTAAGTTTTCTCAGATGCATAATTTGCACTCATCTAGCCATCAAATATCTATAATGCAGCAAAAGCTAATGTTTGTACAAGAAAAATATTGTGATATTAAATTCATTTTGATCCCTTACTTATTGAGAATAACCACTCACCAGCATTGAGTTATTTGCAGAGAAAAAGATTGCACATAACAGCCTAAACCTTTCTTTCTATCTCATTATTAATATGCAAAACACACACACACACACACACATACACACACACACACCCATGCACAAAATATAAAGGAGTTAATTTTTAATACAAATGCAAGAATTCCCACATCAATCATAAAAGCCTTTGCTATCCATTTTTAGGTCACAGCATATAATCAAATTTTAGTCAGTATTTTAAATCAAGCATAACATAATATGTCATTATAAAATCCATTTCAACAAATCATGCTTTTTTACATAATTAACTTAAAGAATTAAGTGGTGACTCATTAGCCAAAAGAAAACAAGTCACGACTTGTCCTTATAATGTAAACCTATGTTACACATTTAATAGTGAAAGAGAGTGGAGGTCCCTAAATAAATATATACATACACAATAAACAACAAATAAATAAAGCAAAAGAAGTCCGGAAGAACAGTCCTTTACTTTATGTTCCTACTCGAGGACCCAGGGAGTATTTGGGAGGCGTGCCTCTAAGTTACTCAACTGTTTGGGAGCTTCTCTGTAGGCCTGGTAGGAAGAGGGGGCTTCAGTTTAGAGTCTGTAAGCCATTTCAAATGGCTAACTTCTCTTCAGTAGGACAAACAATCCACTTTTGAATTTCTCATTCTTTTCCTCTCCTTTAAATCTCGAAGTCTATTTATCCCCCTTTGCTTGCCAACTATACCAGGTCAAGACTATTTATACTCTTCTTTGTTTTCAAAGCAGTTTTTCCCATCTCTTTCCTCTTCTACATCTCCAGACATAAGAGAGGTGGGGTGGGATAGGATGGGAAGAGCCCCAATTAGGGTCTGGCCCAGGCTGGGTTATCTACGAGATAAGGTGAACCTTCGAACTGTTCAACCAGACCTTCTCTTGACATATCCCATTTACAATCATGCTTCAAAACAAAAGAAAGCCTCTATCTCTTTTTTTAGCACCATTTAAATTGCTTTTAAAAGGCCCTCCTTATTTACTTACATTTTGATATGCTTTAGGCTCCTTGAGGCAGGAGAAGGGGAAACCCCAACCCTATGACATATACGTTATGTTTATCATTAAAAAGAATTTTATAAAACAATCTTTAATTATATGCTAGTTTGAAAACATTTTACTTGAATTACAAAATGACAACTTTAATTCCTAAACAAATTATAAAAGTATATAACTCTGTGAAACTGTTCAAGAGTCAAAAGGCAGTTGGACTACTCCGTTATTCTAGACTACTAGGACTTCTCTGACACATCTGCCTCAACAATTGACTCTATCACTTTAATGCATTTTAAAGATCATTGATTCTTGATGTCACCGATTTTTAAAATTTCCTCTTTGAAAATTTTAAAACAATACTAAGAAGAAAACAAAGTCATGAAGAAAACAGTAATTTTAAAAAAGCTAGAAAACACTGTGTGTATGTGTGTTTCTTATTGTTATTGTTGTTGACAATCTCATCTGCTGACAGAGAGACTGGCTTTGTAGACCACTGTAATAGACTGAATTGTGCTCCCTCAAAGTTTATATGGTGAAGCTCTAACCCCATGTGATTATACTGGAGATAAAGCCTTTAAGGAGGTGACTAAGGTTAAATTAGGTCATAAAAGTGGGTCCTGGTTCCAATAAAACTAGTATTCTTATAAAGAGGAAGAGATACCAGTGAGCTCACTCTCTGCCATGTGAGGATGCAGAGAATTGGCAGGTATCTAAAAGCCAGGAAGAGAAGCCCTCACCAGGAACTAAACCCTGCTGGAAACTTCATCTTAGACTTCCCAACCTCCAGAACTGTGAAAAACTAAATTCCTTTTGTTGAAGCCACTCAGTTGATGATATGTTGTTATGGCAGTCCGAGCACATTAACACAACCACTGAATGTTTGACAGAGTGGAAGGGCTGGGTAACATGAACAGCTTGAGAAAACCTGTCCTAAGGCAAAATCACCATTTTGAAAATCCATTGCATGTGACTCTTCAGCAACCTTTTGGTTTTCTTTTTAAAAGACTAAGGAATCATTTAGGCGAGCTTCAAAGAATACAAATTCCTGGGCCACAGTCTCAGGAATTTTGCTTCAGTAAGTCTAGGGTGTGCTCTGATTCTGTTTTGTCTTGTTTTATTGTTTCATATTCCCCAGATGATTCTGATGCCCAGCCAGGTTTAGAAACCACTACTTCAGGGTATCCAGAAATAATAGAGGGTCGTGAATGAAATTCCATCCTCAAGCGTTTTCTCCCCCTCCTCCCAAAGCTGCCTATCTCTATCCACCCCTTCTCTTACCGGTAAAATAAATTTAAAGTAGGCAGGCTGTTGAATTAAAATCAGTGTGTGGAAATTTTCTGTTTAAGAACAAGAAACTGCCCCCCACCCTCCGATCAGACAATCAGGTGATATACACAAGAGCAAGACAAAACCCTTAGGAAGTCACTGCATCCATTCTCAACATATAGACCTTCAGGTATTTGTGTTCAAACTGTCTTTCTGGATTAATCTATTTACTTTTATTTTTCACCTTCACATGTGAAAACCATAGTTTTCATAAGTAACCAAGTCTCTGAATAGGCCTTTCCTTAGTAAGAAAAGAATATAGGAAGGTCACATCGATCCCATGACTGGGTATATATCCAAAGGATTATAAATCATTCTCCTATAAATACACATGCACATGTATGTTTATTGCAGCACTATTTACAATAGCAAAGACTTAGAACCAACCAAAATGCCCATCAATGATTGACTGGATAAAGAAAATGTGGCACATATACACCATGGAATACTATGCAGCCATAAAAAAGAATGAGATTATGTTCTTTGCAGGGACATAGATGAAGCTGGAAGCCATCATCCTCAGCAAATTAACACAGGAACAGAAAAACAAACACCGCATGTTCTCACTCATAAGTGAGAGTTGAACAATCAGAACATATGGACACAGGGAGGGGAACAACACACACTGAGGCCTGTGTGGGAGTGG